AGGAGGAGGACAGAAATCACAGTTCAGGATTGGACTCCAATGTTTTCAGGCACTAAATCCTTAGGAGATTAAAGTTTGTTCAAGCCTCTCTTTTTTTAATATATCTTTATTGATTTCAGAGAGAGGAAAGGAGATAGATGATGAGAGAGTCGTCACTGATCGGCTGCAAGCCTGCAACCCAGGCATGTGCACTGACCAGGAATCGAACCTGATCTCCTGGATTCTAGGTCCATGCTCAGCTGCTGAGTCACACCCACAGGGCTAGGTATTTTCTTGAATTACATGTTGTGTATTAAGGCTATTAGACCAAGAGAAAGGTTTGGGGGGGGGTTAATTTTTTGTCCTGTTTTCATTGTTGTTTTGACTATTGCTCTGTTTTATTTTCATGCTTATTTGGTGATTCCAGGTACTTATTTGCCAATAGCAAGAACAGAAAGGCAAACATGAAATGATGTAATATGCTCGTCTCTTACATCATAAAATTTGGGAGGGCACTAGTCCTTGTTTCATAATTCATTTATTATTAAATTTAGACTTGCTTTTAAATCAATATCTCAAACAATTGTATTAGATAAGTCATAGGAGTCAAACTTTTAAAAATTTGAATTATGATGACTTTCACATCTATTTTCTTTCACTTATTCTTGAAACTCCATTTTTCTGTGGCCACTTACACATTTAGAATTTTGTTTTTCTCCTTAAGTGATAGGAATTAAAGTTTAAATAGAAAATGCTCCACAACTATCTGCCCTATAGCAACCTCTTCTTGATCTACTAGAGCCCACTCTAGCCCCCAAACACTCCTTCCATTTTCACAGAAGTTTCAAGCCCTACGGACTCAAAGAATGAAAAATGTATAGATTTTATTACTCAGTCTTATGAGTAGTCAAGATCATACAAATTAAAAGAGCAGCAAGATAGCATCTTTTACATGCTCATTTATTCCTGCTCTCCAAAATAAAAAGTTTAATATTTATACTAGCAATTATGTCATGAACTTCACAACTGTATATCCTATTGGTTGGCGTTAGAAGTTGGTACAACTTTTCCGTACAACAATTTGATAATTTCAATGAAGGAATTTTTGTTCCCATTCCCACCCCCACCCCCTCTAAAGTCACATTTTTTAGAAACTCTATTAAGGAATCAATAAAAAGTATTAAAAAGGCCACTGGTAGACAGATGGTATTAATCTCTCTAGTTATAGTAAAATATGTTTTGAAAGAAGCCTAATGATTAACAACAGAGTAAAAAATAAACATTGCATGACATAATCATTGGTCATCAATTTTTCAACCATAAATATGCAAGTATGGAAACTATGAGAAATACGGAAAAATATTGAAAAATTATACTCCTTCAAAAAAAAAGATAATAAAACATATACCAGAAATACATAATATAGATTGACATTATATTAAAATGTTTAGATGATCAGAATTTCTAAGCATAGGCAAAGTTTCTATAATATTTATATTGCTATTTAAACTTTAAACTAGTAATTTAATACATTTAAAGGAAAACAAGTCTCTGTCTCAACACAATCTGAATTTTGTTATTTTTATCAAATTTCTGATTTTCTAAACCTACAACTTTCAAAAGGTTTCTACACTTTTTTTTATCCAAGGGATATGTGTGACAAGTCCTAAGCTAGAACTGCCATTTAAAAAATATTTTGTATTATTACTTCATCTCAAAGGTTTATAAAACCTTTGTGAGTTTTTAAAGCCTTATATATACACATCTATGGAAATGGTTTTCTCATTCCTGATTTATTGTACACGTTGCAAACCAGATTAAGAAAAGTACTATTAAAACAAATGGAAGTTGATTTAAAATAATAGTATGTCTATAACAGTTATATATTGATTTTATGCTAGAGGCAATTGTTTTTAATCTATATAAAACTCATCAATCATCTTAGGAGAACAGAAACAGAAAATAAACTCAAAGCTCCTCTTGTTTTTAACAACATACATGTAATATATTATTCATATTTTTCATTTAAACAATTATCAAGTATATTTGTTGGCACAGAGTCCAATGATCATATTATTTTCAACATTGAATATGTCTCCCTAGGTGATGATTTTTAAGACAGCTTAATCATGAGGTTCATTATTCTTATTTTAATTAGTAAATTGCTGTCACTTTTTGCGTGGTTCACAGACCTTATAGATTAAATAACCATGGAAAATGCTTTACAATATTTTACAATACTACAATAAAAAAGAAACCATGTTTTGTCTTTAATATAAAAGTTATTGTTAAAAGCACAAGAAATCTCAACCCTGCCTTGTTTTTTAAATACTTCTTATTTCTTATTATTTCTATGAACCTCACCAGGGTGCAGAGGTGGAAAACCAGGAACAAAGAGTAAGTTTACTTAATTATTTCTGGTAGAGGCATGAATTTCCAAATATAATATTTTGCAAAGTTCAATGATATTAAAATGCCTGTCTAAGAACTAAATAAATATTTAAATTCCATAAATAGTCTAATAATCATTGTAAAAATCTTCAGCAAACAATGATATGAATCGACCTCAATGTTCATTTGTAAATCTTGGTTTCATTTTATAGACTAAGTCATGTATTTTTTTATTTTCATGTATATTTAGCAACATAAGAAAACTCTCTCAGAATTTAACATTGAGAAAAAATGAAAACAAAAGCAGAATTTAATGTATTTCCTGCTTACTTTTTAAGGCTTTGGGAAAGATCCAGCTTTGAGCACCTTTGAATATTTTTCATGCACTCATATTTACTTCCTCCTTCTGTTTCCCATGTATGTTTAAATGAATGTATTTAAATGTTCCCCTTCATGAGAAATGCTTGCTTGCAGTGTAATCTTGTTGATTTGTTTCTATTTATATGGAAAAACCTAAAGATATATTTTGATAACTACACATAATCAGTAGAACAGAGGCAAATAAAAATAGAAAATTGCCTAAATGATGTTTAATGGATAAAATTAACCTGAAAAAATGTTAAAGTATAAATCCAGGAATCCTTCTACATCATATTATTTTACTATTCTCTATAATTAGTTTAGGAAAAAGACAGATGAACCCTCAGCCTAAACTCTAGATAAATAAAATTTTTTAAAATGATGAATATATAGTGATACTACATATATACATACACACATATATATGAAAATATATATTTCTCTGTGTGTGGTATATTTGCATATAGTATGTCAAAGCTCTCTAAGAGGTTTTTCAAGCTGTTATACTTATCATAATGCTTAACATTTACTGAGCACTTTTCATATATGTGAAGTTCTCGGCAATGTGGTTTACATTATGGATTACCTCATCTAACTTGTTTGAAATTAATATTATTTTTAACATTTGTTGGAAATTAAGAAGTAGAAGGAAAGTATACAAATCATACCTTGTGAAATAATAAATATGGTTGCTGGGTTCACAACTTTTAATATTGTACTTATTCAATGTTAAGTACTATAACATTTTTTAAAAATTCTGATTAAGGTATCTCTACATTCTATCCTACAATAATACCATTCTGCATAATTTATTCTTTGCAGTGCTGTGAGACTGACGAAAGAGGCTTCAATCCCAACACAGTCAAATATATTCCAAGTCATTATGTGTGGAAGAGCTATCCTCACACTAAACCCAGTTACTACCAATATAGACCAGCTGTACCAATTAATAACCAATATGTGCCTTACCCATATCATGCAAAACCAGTTTCAGTTAGGCCACATGCCCAAATTCCTCAATTGCAAGTCCTGCCAAATCTCTACCCACTCACTGTGGTACATCACTCATGCCTACATCCATCACTTATTGCCAGTCCCCCAAAGAAAATTCAGGATAAAACAGACATCCCTACCGTCAATAACATTGCCGCTGTTGAGCCTACTCGCATTCCTACCAGTGGGCCAATAGCGAGCACTGTGCTTAGTGAAGAAGCTTCCTCAGAATTCATCACAAGCACGCCTGAGTCTATCACAGTCACACTTACTACACCCATCGCCTAAAAGCTAAGGAAGCATCAAAGACAACACAGGTAAATGAGCAAAAGAAAAAAATAAAGGCATGATTTATGGATTTATCAATATAGTCATAAAATCTAAATAGAAACAGATAAATTAAGTCTGTTATGAAAACAGGCAAAATGGGCTGATTATCACTTTAATTTGGTGGTGGTCATAGCATTGATGCACTACATTCTGTTCCAATAAGAAATGAAAAATAATTTTATTTTACAAAATGAAGAAAATTTGGGGATTTTATTATCAAACATTTTTTTGATAGTTGGAACATTCCTAGAATCTATTAGTTTTATTTCATTACTATTCACACATAGTAGAGTAAAATGCTATCTTAAACTCGTGACTTTTCTTATTTCAAAAACAAATTTTCTTAGAACATTTATACAGGATCTGAGTTTAAATACATTTTAATTGTTTAACAGTATTCTTGCACACTCTAAGTTTTGTATGAATAAAGTAAAAGGAAATATGCTTCCCATGTATTCCTTTGTTTCAGATATCATTTGTGAAAGAATCCATGCTGTTAGGCAGCCCAAATTTCTCCTAAGATAAAATTATGAAAGAAACCTAATTCTTAACTTGAAAAGCATATACATATTAAAAGGATACTTTCATAAACTTAAATATGATGCAAAATGTTTCTATTTGTTACTTAAATCAATGGATAATGGAAGAGTCTAAAATAATTTGAAACTTAGGGGAAGAAGTTAAAATAAAGAAAAAGATTAATAAAATACGAAAGGACAAAAGAGTGTGAAATAATTTGGGGAGAAAGCTAAAAAATTTTGAGTCTTTGCAACAAATATCTTCGGTGCATCATAATCTATGTGTTTTATGATCTAAAATACAACAGTGATCTGTGATACAGTGGTAATAGCGTTAGATCAGAGAAGGCTGCTTCTGCAACCTGTGTGACTTTAGGCAAGTCATCAATCCCTCTAAACTTTCATTTTCTCAGAATCTGGTTACTATGAAATTTAAGTGAGACTGTATGTTGTACAAGAACTGTAAAAATTTATCAAACTGTAAAATGTAATGCATTAGAAAAGATAAAGTAAAATTAATAAATATTAAAATTTACTTATAGCCAATACCTCATGTCCTTACTGATTTCAGATAGTGAGGTTTATTTACTATGCCATCTATTTCCATATGGATTAATTTGAAGAAGAAAAAACTATTTTTTACTTAGATCAGCATATGTGTAAACTATATTATTTGATATTTAATAGCACATCTAGTAGAAAAAAGAAGATAAGCTGGTTAAGTTTTTGACGTGTTAAAATTTAGAAAACAAAATGAGAAAATTAGTGGAGACCAAATGAAAGCAAGTAATTTAGCATGTAATTACGTATTTTATTGATCTAAAAATATGTTATTACATGATTATGGTTTTAATAATCATTATTTCTATGGTTATATTCATTCAAAACCAGCAAATCTAGATTTCGAAGTTAAAACCATTATATAATATCACTTATAAAATAAGTATGTAAAGGACAGTTTCCATCTGTAAATATTAGGTGAAAATTGTTTTCAGTTCACTATATGCCATGTTTAAATATTTAAATTTAATTGGATAAACTTGTATGAAAGCTAATTGAAATCTACATATCATGATAACTATTAACAGATTATCAACTAAATTCCTAAACTGTCATCATTTTTTTATAGGTCTTGTTGAAACCAATTCAAATTCTCCTTTGGCCACTTGTCTGTCTTCAGTCAAGAGAAGAATGTGATTTTCTCAGATTTGGCTCTTTCTCCCCTTACATTCTACTTTCATGGGACATTTAATTTTTTGGTTCTTGCACAATAAAGCCAAATGAATGCAACTGGGTCTCTTATTTGCCCAATGCCCACTGTGTAAATATAGCAACTTTTCTCCCCACCTCTGGGATCTGCAAGTCTAATAAGATTTAGAAAAACACTTTATTATTAGGTTGTACAAAACAACCTTATCTGAAAGTTCTCAAGTCTTCTAGAATGCAGTGATAAGTGATATAATAAGCATTTACATAGCACTTTAAAATGTATAAAACACTTTCACATACATCAACCTCTTAGTCTTCACCTATAACCTTTTGAAATAACTTGTTATTGAGTCTCATTTTGTCTATGTGAAAACAGCTTTAAAACAGTTAAACATAAGATAGTGAAATTTTATGGGCTTTAGATTTGAATAGAACTGGATTAAAGTTTTAACTCAACATTACCTAACTTTGTGACCTTGGATAATAAATAGAATGGAAACTAATACATATATATAATGCGGCAGGCCCTGTAACAAGGATTTTACAGGTATTGCTTTATTTATTCCATATAGTACTCTCTTAGAGAAGTACCATTGTTGTGCTCACATGTAAATGAGAAAACTGAAGCTCAAAAAAACTAAGTAATTCTTCCAACATCAAAAAGTTACTAAATGGTATAATTTACCTTTGAACTCTAGCAATTCAATCCACCAGGCTTTATTATCCTACTACTAGAACATACAACTTTTCATCTGAGACAGTAATTGGAGTCCCTATATAAACCGAGTGTTCAATAAATGTTCATCCCTTTATCCCTAAATTCCCTAAGTGACATTTCCAAGGACATTCATTGCCTGCAAGATAAAGTCAATTTTCATGATCTTGTTATCATTACCTTCCCACCTCATTTCTCCCTATCAGACCTTCAGAGGTTACACTCCAGCGATTCAAAGCCTCATATGGTGACTTTCGCTGCATCATCACCATCCCCAGCATTTTTCTGAAGCTGCTAAAGTCCTTGTTATGATTCATATCACATAATCAAAATTTGACTCCTCGGTTTAGATAACACATTCTTAAGAAACTTTACTGAAATTCCCAGATCCTGCCCCTGCCAGTTTTTCCCTGAGTACTCATCAAACTCTTATACTTGCCTGCCCACCTCTCCTGCTGGGCTTAAGCCTTTGTCCTTATAAACTATGCTCTTCTCATACTCTCTCCAAGATAAGGCCTAATACAGTGTAGAAGCTAAATAAATATTTGTTAAACAAACAAGTAAAGGAACAAATGGATTATTAATGACTGAAGTTGAAATACCCATTTAATAGAATTAAACCTAGGCTTTTCTTACAAAAATCCAGAATAACAATGTTGACCTTAGCAGTTTCTTAGTGATCATGAATCAAACTACCAAAGTTAGTAATATATTGTTAGGCCAATTTTAAACTCAAAAGAAAATTACTGCAAATCATATTATCAATCACAGCAATTTAAAAGTTTAAAGGGAGAATGTTTTTATAAATTTATCTCAGTTTTCAAGGAAAGAAAGCTAAATGTCAACAGAATAATAAGCGAATTGCCAGATCAATATTATGTGTTATCTTAACTCTGGCACACTGTTTAGAAGATGATGGCCATGACATGTCGTCTTCCTAATCTTCTTAATGTGAGACGCTGTCGGAGTGGCTAGATGCCCACAGTATTAGTCTAAAGGCTATAAACCTACAATCAAGACTGAAGAACAAAAATAGACTTGAAAGGCAAGTGTATTCTTTTTAAAAAAAAAAAAAAAGTTTTTATTGATTTCAGAGAGAGGAAGGGAGAGATAGAAACATCAATGATGAGAGTCGTTGATCGGCTGCCTCCTGCACGCCCCCTGCTGGGGAGCAAGCCCGCAACCCGGGCATGTGCCCCGATGAGGAACTGAACCAGGGGCCTCTTGGTGCCTGCGACTACACTCAACTAACTGCTACTACTGCTGCGGCAGGAGGTGAAACCACTTCTGCAATTGAAATCACTACTGCTCACACTGGCACAACTATGAAGAGATAGCTGTGACTGCTTCTGCGAGCAGCCCCACAGGCACTGTAGTGAGCACTAAGGCCCTGACGGACCCTGCAACCACAACAGGCTCTGACGGCCACTGCAGCTGCTCCAGGAGTGAACACCCTTCGCACTGCTCTGCTCATGATCAATATCGCTTCCACCCCCTAATGCAGCCTCTGCTAGCCACCCAACGCTTGACTCTGTGCCTGAAAAAGGCCACAGATCCTGAAGCGTATACCTATGGCACTGAAGGTTATCATTCTGCCTGTGAATATGAATGTGAATATGAATATGAATATGAATATGAATATGACCCAGAGCTTGCTGAGGAGTCCGCTGCAATTCCAGGATCTAATGCCACAGGTCCTGTTACTCCTTCAACTCCAGGGGCCACGAGTCCTGTACAAAGTGACTCATAACCTACAATTGGCAATGGTATTCAGAAACTACAGGTAATAGCTACTACACATAGCCCTTTAATGTCAACTGAGTATCCCAACCAATAATCAAAAACATGAGGTGAAACACTGACAGTGTTTAGCAATGCAAATCTATCGATTCTGCAAGCACACGGTACTGCAGCTTTTAGCTTTTCTTCAGCTGTTGCAAACATATCACATCACATATTTAAAGTATCATAAAAATTGTCATTATATTTTATTTTGATGACTGAGTTCATTTCACAGGCCTCAACATACTTGACATAGAAGTAGATTTTTTTCTTTTATTTTTACTCTAAAATATTCTTCATGTCTTAAGGGCAAAATTTCCTAAATCCTCTTAATTCCCATCTCTTAAGCACTAAAATCTCTCATTCGCTGACATTAGATTACCTAACAAAAATTGGTCTCATAGTTTAAAAGGATAATTTATTAATTTAATGAATTTCATTCTTCTGAATGAAAAGAAACACTTAAAGGTGTTACCTATAGGATAACAGGAATCTCTTATGCAGTGTATGAGGTTTCTAGGATGCCATAAAACTGAAGGCAAAGATAATATTCAGAGAATGTGGGACCTGAGCATGCCTTCTTCCCCTGAATGAAATACAAAGAGAGTTCAATAATATGTTCTTATTGATTTTAGAGAGAGAGGAATGGAAAGGGAGGGAGGGAGAAAGAGAGAGAGAGAGAAGCATTTTTGTGAAATAGAGACATTGATAAGAAACCATCTTTCGGCTGCCTC